GAGTACCAGACTGCAAAGGAATACTTTCGACCACCACCCAAATGTAGAATACCAAATATGCCAGCAACCAGAAAGACACTTTTCCAATTTATTCCAAATAGCGGTAGCAATGCACCACGAAAAAGGAGTTCCTAGACAATTAACGTATTCATGTAAAACAATCATATGAACTGAATAATCCTGACAAAAAAGTAAGAAAAGGAGAAAATGTTCCTCTTACCTCGCTAATCCCAGGAAAAAATGCCACCAGTAAGTAATCCAAAGGTTCAAGTGAAGTAAGCACCTGAATTTGGAAAAAAATCTAAAGGATAGTGACTGGGGTTCATTGAAGAATATGCAAGCAGAAGGATGGCCAACATTTCATGCATAGTAAGTTCAAGCTACCTGCTGATTGGCTACCTCACTAGATTCAGCGAATTCTGGCCATGTTCTTAGTAGCAGGTATCTACATGATGTTACAAATACTACCAAGCCAGCAACCAACTCAAGATGCCAGATCTCAAAGCCAACTGCAAGTGCACCAGGAAAAAACACATTCTTTTTGGCCGATGATATATAGCAACTTCCATTAATGGCATAAAAAAAATATTTCAATCAGAAATGTCAAAGACATTCACTTTTTCACCTTTAGTTTTAGAATGGAATAGCTTGTTAATGTTAGCACATCCAGGAGCCAAAATGACAAACTATATTCTTAACCACATAGCATAAGCCTTAAGAAGCAACAAGAGCACATGCCCAATGTTAAAATTGAGAGAAAAGCTGCCTCCTTAAGGATAGATGAACTTGGGGCTAAGTTCTTGATGTGAGTATGGACATGGATCAAGTTGGCAGAAAAGATATCTCAATGCCAAATGAGCCCATTACAAGGGGGAGAGATAAAAGATTACAACAAATCTTTCAACTTTTTATTCAATCGTGAATCAATGAGAAAGATGGGTTTGGACCCATTAAAAAAGTCCAAGAAAAGAAGACAATAAAACTATTAACCCAAGGGTACAATAGTTATACTATTCACCCCAACTGCAAGAGAAAATAAGCAAGAAAGGGAAAAATTTTACAAGACATGAAAAAGAAAAATTTTCATGAGATTTTATTTCTTAATCATGTAGGAAATCTTCACAATTAAAGATCAGCAAAAAGAAAAAAATGTTCATAAATTGCAAACTATCTTAAGAAAAATGAAAACTGTTTAAATGTCAAATCTCACGGAAAACAAAAATACTTGATAAAGAGAAAAATATCTTGGCATAATCTTTTCCCCTAAATCAGTTACAATTAATTAAAATATTCCTTATTTAAAAAGTTTCCTTCGTAGGGAAATCATTTCTATTTTATTTTAATTGTAATTTTCTTAATTTTTACTACTTTTCCATTCTATTTTAGATTTAATTTTATATATAATTTCTACCATTAATTAGGAGATTATTTTTCCCTTATTATTAGCATAGCCTACACTATAAATAAACTTTCAATTCAGAGTTATAATTCAATTCAGAATTTTCAACTTATTAATAAAATTTAGGTATTCTTACTTTTAAGCTTCCAAACTTACAAGAGTTAGTGAGTGGATCTTCGACCGACTTGTTGAGATGGGAATTAGGATCACTTATCGAGATAAGTCTCGTGACGTCTTTTCAATTATAATTCTTTATTTCTTACTCAGTTACCTTAGCTCACTCCTCTATTGAGTGCAGGTCAATTGAGTTTCTAATTATCGATGTATATGGGGGTTTTGGATTCCATTGTTGATCCCGGGTTCCGCATCAATTCTACTTTCATGCCTCCGCGTCCATGCAAAACAGATTCCATTATTTTCAGCATTGTGAATAATGAGGACAAATACTACTCTGCTTCAAAGTCCTTACCATCCAATTCATGACAACCTCAAGTCCTCATAACCATGCAAGGTATATAATTACTGTTTTAAGATAATCTTGAATTTGTAGTGTTAGTTATAGTTATCTAACCTAGTTTACAATTCCAACTCAATCTTCTTATTGTCCAAACCAAGCACGGGGCCACTTATTTGTGATTCACCACTCAATAAAAAAGGAAAAACTGCACTTCATACATGATACTTCCACTGAACAATCAAGGACCGGCAATCCTTCCATGGATGCAACATGAGATACCTGAAAAGCAATACAATTCAGGAAGAGAAGAAGTTAAAATTAAATATTTTGGTGGTAAGAAAGCCTAATTAATTTTCTATTTATTTAGTTTATTAGGTCATTTAGGAAGATCTAGTAAAAATTGAATTGATTAAGTTTAATAAACTTTGGACCTTATCTTCACTAATTATTGCTTGAGAAAATTTCTTACTTTAGTTGTAACTAGGGGCTAAACTAGAATGCAAACCTAGATTAAAGCACAGAAGATTAAGTTAAGAACTATCTACCAAGATTCTATTCCATGTTTTATTTCCAATTTTTCCCAGTTCTCTTGGGTTGTCTTCTCTATCCTTAATTTGTCTTCACCTTCGTTCGAATTTCCACTGCCTTCTTGCAATTATTCTCTAAATTATATTCCCTCTATTGCTCCCCTAGCTTCTCCTCTCTTAACTCTAAATTCCTCTAATCTATTCCATCTAATATAAATTGGAATATTCTCCAAGTTCTTTTTTTTAATAAAATAGAAAAATATATTAGCAGACACCAAAAAGGTACCAACTTATATATAAAGTACTTACAGATCTAACAAAATATATATAAAGTCCCTAAAATCTTCCATACAATATAGAGGATGACCCAGAATAAAAAACCAACAGTCTAGAACCATCTAACCTGATCCTATCAAAGTCCTCCACATCATTAACCCTCTCAAAAGCTCTTCTATTCCCCTCCTACCAAATTACCCAAAAGATGGTAGTTGGGATGAGGTTCACGTATTTCTTCCGCCCACTGATGCCCTTCCACGACTATATTTCATCTCTAACCGAACCCGCCATCACCCAACTAACACCCAGTAACCCATACACCACAAACAAAAACTTGTACATAATTGAACACCGAAAAAGAACATGATTACAAAATTCCACGGTTTTCTTACACAAGTAACAATCATTTCCCATAATCATTCCCCTCTTCATCAATTTATCAATAGTCAGAATGAATCTTCATCCAGCCTCTCATAAAAAGAAGGCCACTCGGGGAGACACTTTAACCTTTCAAATTTGTCTAAAAGGAAAACTCAATCCAGAACATTCTTGCTTAGTCAGATACTTGTAAAAAGATTTGACCAAAAACACTTCTGTAGAAGTAAGGCTCCAAAAAGGTTGATTGTTGCTACCATCCAAAGTAATGAGAGACAAAGTAGATAGAAGATTCTCATACTCATTAATTTCCCAATCATTCAGGCTTCTCAACACATTTACTTGCCACTTCATTTTCCCACCCCCTATTTCTTTGAAAGAGTCAATGATCCAAATATCTTTGTATTGTGTTATAGTGAAAATCTGGGGAAAATTCCCTCTAAGGATTCCACACTCTAGCCATCGGTCCTATGAAAAATTGACTCTGTCACCCTTGCAAAACGTCGTATTCAATATAGGCCTAGAATCTATCCCTTCCCATGCAAATTTTTTTCCACACTTTTTTCTTGTGTGGTCTTGACAGTATTTTGGTAAACCAACCTTTCTCATCAATTCCGAACTTTTCTCCTCTCATCCTTATCTACAGCATACCCTCTTCTGTCACAAATCTCTAAAGCCTTGTAAGGTTATGTTCATTTCCACTAGGGATCTCAACCTCAACCCTCCCTGGGGAAATGGTTTCTTAGTCTCCTCCCAAACTACTAGATGAAATCTCCTACTTTCCTCCCAATTGCCCCAAAAGAATCTAAACTGGATAGTTTCCAACCATTTTGCAACACTTGTCGGAATAGTCTTAAGAGACATATGATAAATGGGTAAGTTACCTAATATGCTTTTGATAAGTGTAAGTCTCGCTCCTTCAAAAGGAAGAGCTCTCTTCCAACCCGCCAGCCTTTTCTCAAATCTGTCACCATCAGCTCCCATGTTCTCACCTCTTTTCTTCAAATTGAGCTACAAATATGAAGCCTAAGCAAAAAATTTTCATGAAAAAAGACATATTATTACAAAGAGGAAATAAGAAAAGGAAAAAGGATCCGAACAATGAATTGCAGTTTATTATCTATTTTTCATTTTCTTACTTCTGATAGTAGTAGCATTTCCTGGTTAGTGTTCTTAGTAGAATTCTATATAGGAAGAGATTATTAGGCACTCCATAAAAATCTTTGTAATCTCCTCTGAGAGCACTATCCAGTCGATATGAATTTCTTTAAGCATTTCCCATTACTTAATTGTGTGATTCAATCAAATTTTAGACATGATACCCAAGAACTCTAATCTAGGTTTCTCCCTAAATTCCTAATAGTAAATAGGATCGTATTTCATTATTGGTGAAGCAAGGACTTGCCACCACCTATGAACGAACTTTCCTCTGGATTCTTATGATTCTATCTCATCCTTTATTTTCTCCATTTCAATTCCTCCCCCATTCTCATGCTTTGTTTACTCTTAAATACTACCAATTTATCCTACTCCACATCCTTTGGCATGAAAATCATTATATCATATGTATATAGACATATATAATATCTGGATAATAATGCAAAAAAGAATATATAAAATCATTTACTAAGTGAAGCTGAATTTTACCCAAAAAATTGATGCATTTTCTTCATACTGGGGCTGCTAATTTATAGACATTCATGATCCAGTAGCCAATAGTAGCCAACGCGAGAAATGTACTTTTTGTTTTAATATAACTGAAAGATTACCTGTCTAATTGTTACCCCCAGAGCAGCTATCAGTCCAGAAGTGATAATACATGCCTGAAGAACGTTATTCCTGGAAGCAACCGCCACTGTGTTTTGACTGTCATCAGATTCCAGTGGAGACCTTTCTTCTACGGAATCATTTTCTTCGGAAAGATTCTCATCAGACGGCGACTTACTTGAATTTCCACCTCGTTGTCCACCTCTTCTCAATTTCTTGGCAGCTTTGCGAGTGGCAAAGGCCCTCATTCGAAGCTTAGAACCCTGCTTTGCGAGTTTCCATATAATTTAGTTATATATTTTCAGAAAAAGAAAAAGAAATTCTCTAATTTAGAAAAAAAATCCAACAACTGGGAATCTCACGCCGCGTGGTGAAACTTCGCGAGCACCAAAAAGGCTGATGAAGTTGGCACCTATAAGATGAAGGCACATCCACATATTCACAAATCCGAGCAAATCCATATCCGGAAAAGAAAAAGGAACTGAGAAAGACTAACCGTTAGGAATGTAAGCGTGAACAGGAGAAAGATGTATTGCAGAACCAGAGGCGTGGCTTCTTCTGGCACTCCAACTTTGAGTGGTGAGAAAATCCATAGATTTCAAATATGTTTTACTTCCAAAAATGAGCAGTCCGTTGAAATTCCAAAAGGAAAACGGGAAGTGCAGAGAGCATTAATGATTAATATTCAGCAGAGAACGAGAGACCTGCATTTTACAGAGATTAATTCTTCTTCCGGTCCATAAAAAATCAAATAAAATCAAATTTCATCTACAGATATTTATAAATTTACATTCAACTTAATTAAAAAAATAAAATGATAATAACTAAATTCGTGAAATGTATTATTTTGTACTTCATTTTTATACTCTGCTTCTTTAAATTGGTCTATATGACTTTTAGAAAACATAAAATCAGATCCTAAAGAGGAACACTGAGAAAGGATAAAAAGCATATCTCTCAATGGTGCATTGTTATCATGTTTAAAACAAAAATGAGGGATAAATTTTGTATTGTATTGCTCTTTAAAAGAATTTATGCATGTAAATTAGAGACCTGATACAATTTCTTCTTTGAGAAAAATGTTGAACACCTCAATATATAATTGTAATATATCAGAGGTTATAGTTTTCAAAGATTTAAATAATAAGTTTTATCTGAGATTTTCAAATATTTTGTGTCTTATTTAATATAATCATGTTTAGAAATTTGGTTTTATTAATTAGCTTTGAATAGAATTACTACGATGAATTCACTTCAAAAGGAGCGGCAATAACTTAAATATTTTTTTATAAGAACATCTGCGGTGAAGGAATACTTTACCAGCGACATTCATAATAATGTTGATATGAACTGTTCAAGATAGCCTAGCGGAGAAAGGCCAAGACAAAATTCAACAAGACTATGTTTGAAGAATTGCACTCTTCCCCTATTTTTGTGACATAGAGTGAGGTTTGTCATATAGAAAAACTTATGATTTATCATATAGTAGTTAGTACCTCCGATATTTTGACAATGTGAGAAGCTTGACCGCGGAATGCTCTGTTTCTTCCTTCCATTTTGGCTACAGATAATTAAGATTTTATAAACTTACTGTCATAGCAGATTCATCTATTGAATTTCATTGAGTTCCAATCTTACAGAACATCTTGATGGAGATGAAAAGTTGTAATTTCTATTTTACATCTTAATGCAACCTCCATTTTATTTCAATTTTTACCCAAAGTTAAAGTGTAAAGAACAAGGCCTATGAAACAAACTAAAGTTGTTATCCTCATCCATCACAAGCATATCCTAATCCAAAATGTTCACAACAAAACTTCATATATTTGTATATTTCACTTTCACATATTAAAAATAACTATGTGAACCCTCATATCCAAAAAAAAAAAAAAAAGAAGGGTAACAAAAAGGAGGACATTTAAATTAGTTTATCTAGACATGGAACCTGGATTCTCTGCAATCCCTAAAATGCCATTTGCAGAGAACCAATTAAGGAATATGTACAGGCAACATGTATACGCCAACATTATGTAGTAAAAAGAATAGGAAAGGTAATGAGTACAAAATGTCCATGATATGATTCCAAGTTTAAACAGTTGACGACAACTCCTGTAGATCACATCAAGGATAAATGCAGGTATTGATTCAGTTACAAAATGGTAGCCAGCAGCCATATGTGTAAGAAAAGCCAGTAGGCAACAAGGCTTAGTCTTGCTCCAGGATGACTCATCAATACTCGACCACCAGAAACCCTGCATGAATTGAAACACAACTTAGTTTCAATCTTTCAGATCCCATGGCTTTGACCCATTAACAAGTTTCTCCACTCTTATGGAAAATGACTAAATAAACAGAACCAGAAATTTAAGGTAATGTAATCTCCGGCTCTACATGCAGGGGAACCAACATTCCTTTGCCTTTAGCTTCAGTATTCAGCTTAAATTAAAATGATTTTTAACAAAAATTATTTAGTGCTTCCTATTTACTTTCTGAAGTTCTGTAACGGAAAATTAGAAGACAGTGTGCTAGGTTAATTTAATCTAGTTAGTAAAAATTACCAAATAAAGCAAAAAAATATTACAAGACGATTATCATGACAAAGTGCAACATGATCGTCAAATATAAGTTTCTTTATTTCTCTTCTCTTAGTATTCATAAACTCTTTGCCTTAAATCATGAAATTGTTGGAAAATTTAACGCAAACTCTTCTACATCTTAAATATTTTGTATTGAAATAAACATTAAATTCCTAAAATGTTTCTTGATTATGTGTCTCTAGAAAAACATTTCTTAATTATGCATTCCATAGAAATATCCCAGCCTTACAAGAAAAGTTCTATGTCTATGTTTGGCCTAGAGCATTTTTATTGTGTGGCACTCTTAGCTTTATATTTCTTTCCTTAATCCTCCATTATAAGGGAAATCCAGTCGTAAGTTTGAGTTCCCCAAGTGAAGATTTGCAGTTGGCTTTGACATAGGTATTTTGTTGAACCATGATAAACTATGTTTCTCTTCTTCTCACTATTACTTTAATTTTTGAGTGCGTTGCATGAGTATACTCTACAAACCAAACAATCACTTAAAACAGTTTAAAGCTTTACCAAAGTCCATCAATTCGATCTGCAATCATCTTTCCTTGCTTTGGAATGAGACCAGATGTGTTGAGAGACTTGAAGACATGACCTGCCAAAGATAAATAAACAGATAATAATCAAGAGTAAACCAAGCTTTGAGATTTGCTATAGGAAAAAGTATGTTATCAAATAGAAACCTTTATCTATATCAGTTTCCCCCTTGTTGATCAGATTATCAGATTCAGAATCAATATTAATTGCAAGATGGTCAGTTGATCCCTTTCGCATGGTTCGCAATTGAGCAGCCGATGGAACAGGAGATATTGCGTTATTCACATGCGAACCCTGTGCAATCATGGGAAGCAAAATTACATTCATGAGCTTCTTTAAACTTAGCAAAAGAAGGGAAGATAATTTAAAAGAGGCCACAAGTTGACAATCAACCTACAGCTTCTCAACTAAAGAAATGCACATATCAGATGATGCATTCAGCAGTCTAACTTCTCAAATGAAACATGCCTGTGAAACGACAAACATATGCAAGATGAAGCAGATGATTCTTTCCGTAGATGGGAAAGGAGACAGAAGATTAATTGCTTAAAATTAAACTGTATTCCTCATCTGGTTAGCAATAATGCAGATTTAAGATTTGATTATCAACAAAAAGAAGAAACTACCATCATAAGGTGCAAAAGGATCTTGTAACACCAGCACAAATCACCGGGCACGATTGAACAAATCTTGATTAATCAATTTACATAAGAAACCAGTCATCAGGACCCGTCAGGCCCATTAACCCAAGCATGGGTTTATCTTCAGTTTACTGATAGCACAAAGCAGTAGCCTTTTAAAGGATCTACTTTATTCAAATTTTTATTCAATAAGATTTACATTATGTTTTCCTAAGTTCTTAACGATTAATTTTCTGTCCTTAACAGGAATAGTATTAGCATTAATATTCATACTTTGGGAAATTAATCTAATATTACTTAGTTAATACTTGGGGAGCTATAAATATTTTTGTAATCTCACCTTTAAGATCAATATCAGTCAATGACAAATTACTATAAGAATGTTCTCAATATCTTGGTTGTGTGATTCAACCAATTCTGAAGTTTGATGCTTCAGAACCTAGATCAATATCTAAGTTAACCAAATCTTTAAGAACCAAAAATATTCCTATTTCTTACTACATCAATTATCCAATGAATAGCAGAAACTGAAACAATTACAAATCTATTATAGATTTGACATCATAACTAAATCATGAGCAGTACTATCCTCTTAAACCAAGAAGCAAAGAATTCATCAACCACTTTAGTAAACATAACAGAAAATAATTAATTGACAAAAGTTCCAGGAATTCACTGAGACCAGAATCAAAAACTATACAAGCACCATGTAGGAACTTTGTTTACTATGAAAACAGATTATCGACTATGAAAATCATAAATAGAACCAAACTTCTCAACAGATATTTCTCAGCTATGTGCCTGACACCCTTGCAAACATGTCAAAAGTTCACTTATAAATCTTTTTGTCTTCAACACCATAAGGTCCAGACTGAGCAATCTACAAATTAAGCTTTTGCACTACTAATATGGTAAATAAAACACCACAGAAGGCACACATATTTCTAATATCACACATCAAGGATGGATGAAAGCCAACATTACCATATCTTCAATTTCAGAGATTTCAGGCCCGGATGGCAATTGAGATGCTTCAAAAATATTTCTGTCCTGGATAATCTCTGGCTGAGTATTTCTATCCTTAAATGACTCTTCAAGCACTTTAACCTTTGTTGACAATTCATCTACAAGCTTTTGACTCCCGAGAAATTTTGTGCCTAATTCTTGGGCTTTAAGTTTTGAATTTTCAGCTTCCAAAAGCAGGGCCTTCACCATCTTTTCTAATACAGGTAAAAGTTCACTTATATCATCAGATCTTTGATTCCCAACAAATCCATTACCACACAACAAGTCAATAATTTTTTCTAAACCAAATGAAAGCTCAAATAATTCAGTTTTTCTCTTCTCCAAGTCCAGCTTGCTTCCCTTGTACTTTTCAACCTCCTTCTTCAGATAATCAATTTCAAGAATTTGGCTGGACAATGTCAACTGCAACTCTTCTTGCTCATGAGATAAAGAATTTACTTGCTGCTGCATTTTAGTTACACTATCTATAATCTTAAATAGCTTCTTTACATTAGGCGCACTAAATGGCTCCAGGTCTTCAACTGATTCTGCAGAAGGGATGTTAATCCCATCTATTTTGTCGAATAGGGCCCTGATTTGCGATGCTGAAAGGAGAGGATCCACTGTTTATGTACGTAAAGAAAACCAGGTCAGTTCCAACAATTAGTGGTAATAAACAAAAGAGAATTGAAGCAAGATGCTCACCTTGTTCTTTTACCAACAAACTATTCGACAATAATGCAAGTTCTGCCTCTTTTTCATGCCTCTTGCCCTCTTGGACATGAAAATCTTCTACTTTAAGTTTCAGCTCTCTGCATGAAACTTGTGATGTTTCAACATCAGCCTCCAAACAAGAAATCCTATTTTGGTTTAGATCTCTTTCATTTACAACCTTTCCTAAAGCTTCCTTGGTTTCTCTCAATTCATGCTGCAAATCTTGAATCATAGAAGCTGCCATATTAATTGTATTCTCAAACAACTTACTCACAGTCTGCACCTTAGTTACAGAAAAGGATGACTCTTCTGCCTCACTGATATATTTTCCACCATCAAGCATTTGCTGATACCGTACAACACCTCCGCCACCGAGTTTCTGCCCTTCTGCTGGGACCAAGTCGTGGTTCAGTAAATCCATCTCAGGAACAGAGATAAGTTCTCGTAGATTGCTTTTTACATCAAATCCTAGTTCTTTAGATGCCTTAGTACACATAGACTCTAGAACTGTAAAATCTTTCTCTATTACGGCTATAGCTTTCTCCTTTTCCTTGTTATGGATTTCCATATTCTTCAGTGTTTGGTTCAAAGATTCAGTGTAGTCAAAAAGATTTATCAGATCATCCCTTGTAGCCTGCATTTTACTAAGCAAATATGAAACAAGCTCATCTAGACAAGCAGAAAAACCTTCAAACTTATCAGCAAGAACTTTGTTTTTCATCTTGAACCCTTCTGCAATCTTTCTGAAACACGAACAAACATCTTCATAACTGACAGCATTAACTTCATAGTTCTCCATTTCAATGTTCACAGCATCACTAAGACCATTCAATGAAGGACCTTGCACAAGTGAATCGTCCTGAAATAAATTTGAAAAGATCATTAGAGGAAAAGAACATTGATAAGACAGTTCAAAAAAAAGATGACGACAGTTTAAATCTTTTAAAACTGCCACAAGCAGATCAATATTGACATACAGTGTTGCAAGTCTAAAAGTTCAATCTACCTAATGTTCATAACTTCAAATTCCATAATTTGAGGGATGATTAACTTTAATAATATTTCTAATCTGAATAAATAAAAGGGCTTTGTTAGTGGTATCAAAACTGAATGGGTAGCCTTTCATTATTGGCAAACTAAACCATAAACCTTATAGCATTTTAACTTGCCATAAAACACAGAAGAACAGTAAACAGAGTCAAAAAAATAGGCAGATTTTAAATGCAGAATAGATGGATAAAAAGGTTGTTACATGGTGAATCCATTGTGCATTACTAAATGTATAGATATATTACCTCTATACCATTGGCACATAGCAATGTTCTCAAACCTTTATCGGCACAATGGTCCCTGATGTCTCTAATAATGAGGTCCATATCTCTCAGGCTCTTGATTTTGCTCTCAAAGCCAAGACTAAATTGGGAGAACAGATTTGCATCTTTTAGAACAAGTTGTAGATCGTTAACATAAAGAGCGAGCTCCATCGTTTGACTTTCTAAGTTGCCACTGGTTCCAGCCAACTTGTCCATGCATGCCTTCAATTTGGAATTAAGTGTTGATAACTCCTGCTCAGCAAATCTCTTTTCATCTTCTAGAACAGAGTAACAATTCTCTGCCTTTACTAATGCGTGTTCTAATGATTTTATTCTATTGCAAGCCTCTGCCAACTTGCTTGCCTGGGATTCAGTTTCATCTTTCAGCTTCTTTACCTCATTCTCCAACTTGGTTCTGTCTGCTTCCATATCCTTATTTTGGCTAGTCAGCAGAGCAGCATTTCTTTCTGCCAAAGAAAGTGCATTTTTGAGTGATTTTATAGTGTTATTCACCTCAGCCAGGCTGCTGGTCTTTTCAGCTAGTTCCCCTCTCATTTTCTCTACCTCCAGGTCTGCAGCAGCTCTGCTAACTTGAGCCTCTTCTTTCCCATCGATCAGCTCCAAAATACCATTTTCAGCATTTGATAACGCATCTTCAAGGGATTTTCTGGTCACACAAGCCTCCAAAACCTTGCTGGTAAGGGAGGAAACTTCTTCTTCTGCTTTCTGTAGCTGTAGTTCAATATTTTTCATGCTAACTTCAATTTCCCTCTTCTCTTCTGAAAGTTGAGAAATGTTGTTTGTTGCAACTGATAATGCATCTTCCAGTGATTTGACAGTTGCCATGGTCTCCACTAACTTGCAATTTAGAGTTCTGACTTCCTCCTTAACATTTTCTACCTCTAGCTCTGCTTGCATCTTACCACTCTTACATTCATCAATGTAGCCAGCAAGCCAGTTCACCTTTTGGATATGATCCTCAAAAGCTGATTCAACAGGAAGAAAAATACTGTCAATTGTTTCAATCAATCTTTGCAAGAAGTCATCTCTTTGTGACAACAACCGCTCAAGTTGATATTGCTGATCTTTCGTAGCAACTAGATCAGCCTCCAACTTTGGAATCTGCTTTAAATCTTCTGTTAGCATATTGATCTGATCCCTACATTCATTAACTGTAGATTCTTGGTGTTGTATTTCGAGCTTCAACTTCTCAATTTCTGCATTTTTCTCTTCAAGAATAATTTTCAAGTTTTCCCGGTCTTGGAGTAATCCCTTCCCTTTCTTAACTGCCATGGATAATTTCTCCCTCAACAAAGCAGATTTCTCCTCAGATCGCCCAAGATCCATCTGCAGGCAATCCTTTTCGTTCTTCACCGCCGCAAGATCTTGAGATACCCGCCTTAATTCATTTGTGAAGTCACTTACCTGTGCTCTCACCAGGATTTCTTCTCCAAGTATTTCTTTACATATGACCAACTCCAGATTTGTCAAATACAAGTGGCTCTGAATTCTTTCAAGCAATTGCGCATCACTATGAGAAATTTGAAATGATGATCCAGTTTGTTCTTCTATCTTCTTAAAGCATCTATCCAGAAGCATTTCTGAATCAGCTGAAGCCTGATCCACATCTTCTTGTTCTTCAGTTTTCATGCCAGACCTTGTTAGTAACATTCCCACAATCTGATCCTTCTCAAATGTGACCTTACGTGCCTTCTCTACCAATTCACTGTGCCTGCATTCTAGTTCTTCCAGCTCCTTTTGGATATAGTCCTTCTCTTGTAATTCAGTTGAAAGCGAAGAGCTTAAACGTTCAGCTTGATATTGCAGCATATTTATTTCATCTTTGGCCTGATAAAAGGATTCCGTAAGCCAACCCAAACAAGATTCTAAATCAGGAAAGGAAAGATTGTCCGCTACTTCAATTGAAGAAAAGGCATCTTTCAATTTGTTGTACTCCAGGGAAACAGCCCTGAGTCTATTTATCTCGTTGGCAACCCATTTAACTCTCTCCACGATGTCCATTAACTTGTATTCCTCAGGTATATCAACCTGAGAAAGAATTTCTTCAAAATTTTCAACA